CAAATGCATATAGAAATACAAACAAAGGGCCAGAGATGTAGCTCAGTGGCACAGCGCCTGCCTGGCAAGCTTGAGCTCCTGAGTTCAATTCCCAGCACAAAAAAAGGGAAGGAAAGAAAGAGAAGAAAAGACATAAAAACTGCAGACTTAAACAGTTTATCATAAAGCAAGGCCATTCTCCTTATCTGCCTTCTTTCAAGGCTGAGCCCATCGGCAAGCCTTGAATACCCTCTAAAGATGTTTACCTCGGTAGTAGTCTGTTTTCTGTTGCTATAACAAAATATCAGAGACTGGGTATTTTGTAAAGAAGAGAGATTTATTTAGCTCCTAGTTTTGGAGGCTTAAAGTCCAAAATCAGGCAGCTTTATCCATTTGGCCCCTGGTGAGGGCCTCCTGGTAGACAGCATCATGCTGATGGGAGCTGGTACAGAAGAGATCACATGGTGAGACAGGAAGCCAGAGAGCTTCAGAGGTCAGACTTTTTTTTTTTTAATATCCCATTCTTGGAGGAACTAAGTCATTCCAAGAGACCAGCATCAATCCCTTACAAGGGCAGCATCCCCAGTGACATTGCACAAAGCTCCACCTTCCAGAATTTCCATCACTTCTTAATACCACCACACTTGGGACCTAGCATCTACTACAGGAACCTTTGGGAGACAAACCACATACAAACCAGAGCAGCTCCAAATTCATACCCCACCCTGACGCCTGCTCTGAACTGCAGCCAAACCTCTACCTCCCATCCTCTGTCTTGGTGGCTGGGAAGCAGCCCACTGCCTGCCCCAGCAGCCCTTCCCAGCACATGGCCCCACCCACTTGGAAGTTTAGAGCAAACACACAGGATCCTCCTTGCCTCTGCGTCTCCATCCTTTCTGTCTCCATCCTTTCTGCCGGCAACTCCCATTATTTCCCATTACCCAGTGCGTGGTGTGAATCAGTCCTCCAGAGACAGGTTGCTGATGGGTGGTTCCCTCTGTCTGAAGTTCTTCCTACTTTCATCTTGGTCTTCACACAAAGATAATTTCCCTTGGGATATAAATTTTGCTTTACTTCTAGCTGCAGATGGATTTGAGTTAAGAGAGAAAGGAGAAGGAAAGAAAGGGAAAACTGGGCTCCATCCCAGGCCCAGAGCCAGGGCTGGAGGAGGCCAAGGCAGAGTGGGAGGTTGCCCTGCTACTACAGCTTCACCGTGCCAGGCCTGGGGACTGCTGCCAGGACGGAGCTCTGAGGGTATTTGTGGGAAAAAGAGGGTGCCTGGCTTTGGATCTCAGCCTGGGTTGGAATCCCATTTCCACCGTGACTGTGAGGTCCGAAGTAACTCACTCCACCTGCAGTGCCCCCCACTATGAAGTGTACCAGTTTCCAGAGTCATGGAGGAGGGTGGCGAGGCTGGCACAGTAGTTGAATCTGAGAGGCACTCAGGGGCGTGACGGTGTGTACTTCCTCAGGTCCACAGAGGACAGCTGGAGACATGACAGGTTAGAAGCTGGGGGATTTTGATGCGCTGCCTTGCTGACCTGGAGATGTTACTAGATTTCTGCCTGACATCTCTGGGTTCTCCTCAGAGAATTTTGAGATGTGGATTTTGAGATGTGGATGTCGGGCTTCGGCTGGCACTATGCACCACAGGCCTACCTCAGAGAGGGAAATAGCCATAGGGGACAAGCTGCTTGCCTAGGATGAGGGTACCTTGCCTTTTTACTGAAGGGGCTACAGTACACACTGGGTCTCGGTCTGTACTGCCACATACATTACAACCCTGCTTTGTGAACACTCTAAGCCCCTAGGGCCTCAGTGTTCACACCTCAGTCACTGTCCTCAATGCTGAGACAAAAAATCTCAGTCCCAGAAATTTAAGGAAGGAAAGGTTTGTTTTGGCCTTCAGTAGAGGGTTTGGTCTATAACCAGTCAGCTGGCTCAAAGCAAGATGGCACGGCACAGGGGCATGGTGAAGAGAAGCAGCAAGCAAGCAGAGAAAGAAGGAGCGAGGCAGGGTGATACCACTTCAGGCCACCCCCTCCGTGCCCTGCCTCTTTGACCAGACCCCATCTCCTAACAGCAAGTCAGTGATAAGCCCCAGTTGCCTTCCAAAGGCCTCACCTGGGCAAATGAGGCTCTTGGGTGACATCTAGATATAAACCATCTCATCTGCCATTCTCTGTGTCTTGAATGCTTATGTTCTACTCTTAACCACCTTCGACCCCCTCAGCCTTCAGGTCTTGGTCCCTTTATCACTATCTGAGAGGCCTTTTCTGGTCCCATCAGCCCCCACTTCAAGCAACTCTGCTTTCATATACTCAGAGAACCCTAGCTCTGCCGTTCCGACTCTGTGACCTTGAGGAACTCCTTGAGGAGTCCCAGAGCTCCCTCACTGAAACTGCCCACCTTACAGAGCCACCTAGGAGGGTGGCAGCACTCATCATAGTACCTCAGAAGCAGGAGCATGGAGAACACACAAGCCACGCCCGTTTGCTCGCCTCCCTTCACCTAGTACCCTGTAGCTTTGGGCACCTGGCCAAGCTCTGCATTTTGTTGAATCAAATGATGCAAACTAGCACGTTTTGAACACTTTGTGCCACGCTGCGTGTTCACTCTAAGAGTAACTTAATCCCTGTAACATGGGGTGTTAGGGCTGCAGGGCGGGTGTTACCACTATTATTCCATTTCAAGCTGAGGTTCCAAGGGGTGAAGATTTCTCTGAGGTCAAAGAACCAAGAAAGCCTGAGCCAAGACTCGAACTTAATTTGCCCATCAACACAGGACCACTGGTGCTATGCAGAGGCACAGGCTGCCGTGTAGAGCCACCAGGGGCAGGAAGGAGGGGTGCTGGGATGGGGGACAGGCTGTGTGGCAGCAAGAGCAGGGCCCCAAGCAAGCAGAGGCCAATGCCTGTGGGCTTGGCCTGGCGGGACAACTGCGGGTGGGCCCCTAGGGAGCCCAGGGAAAAGTGCATTACACTACGAAACTGCCAGAGACTTCTGCTTGTCTTAAAAAATGCCTTTTATGGAAAGGTGCTTGTTTTATTCTACTTTGTAGATGCTCTTTTTTTCTGATTACAAAATCTGTATTAGAGAAAAATGAGAAAATCAGAAAACTATAAAGGAAATTTCCACCCAGAGGTAGCTATCCTCGAATTATATACTTCATTCTTATGGTTTTCATATGCACCTATTTCCTCCCATGCATATATTAACCATAAAATTAGAATCATACCACAGATTCAGTTTTGTAGCCTCTTTTGTTCACTCAAGAGTTTTATTATGGGCATTTTCTCACATTGTAATACATTAACTAAAAACATGATTTAAAAAAAATTTTATTGATGGTTTTCTGGTAAGAATTTGTAGTAGACATGTTTATTATAGAAAGAGAAATCTAAAGTCTTCCATAATCTCTCCCCCTGGGAGATAATTACCATGTTCTTACATTCCTTTGCAGAATTTGACTTCTTACACATAAATAAAATGATATAGACACATACATACTTTTGTTAAGAACCAAGTTGAAATCCCACATCTTTCCTCAGGCCATATATGGAAAAGCATCCTCTAAGACAAGATTTGTAAACTCAAAGCCAGTAAGTAGCTGAATGTGGCGAGAGGGCCACCTCAGGACCTTGGGAAAGGGGCTATCACACCACCTCAAGAGCCAGTTTCAGCTGTGCAAGCAGGCCCTTACCACCCTCCCTGATTTTCTAAGAAAAGCTGTAACCCTGCTTATGTGGAAGGTGTCTGGCGCATAGAGTTTGAAAAGCATATTCATTAGGATGACTTCACTGTAGATTGGGAAAACTAAAAAGGAAGATATGCCCCACTCCATGATACAAACTAGGTAATGGCAACATTTAACAATGCCTTGGTTAGGTGGGGTTCTAAATTTCAGAAACTTTCTCATGTATTTATTATGGATAACAGTATTCTTACCACTAAAAAAATCAATTATTTTTAATGACTGCATGACTGCTTTGTTGTTCAGCATAGCAGTATCTCTGAGTCCTTGTTCATTCACTCATTCATACAATAAACTATTAATAGTGAAAGCTATTTGCCAAACACCCTGGAGAACATGGGTGAGGAAACGGGCCAAAGCCCTGCCACCAGGGACTCACACTCTAATTAGGGAGCGAGAAAATAAACTTATTTACTCAACTCTGAAGACCTATACTGATAAAACAGTATTTTTATTCTTGTGCTATACAATGTGAAAAAACTTTTCCGTATGCTAACAATTATTCAAAAAAAACTTTCATAGCTACTTTTTAAAAACTTCACTTTTGTATTCTGTTGTATAGAATGCGTGGCTCTCTTGTAAAAACCTTTTGCACTCTGCCCTTTCGGAGACCTGCTCTACCCAGCCATCGGGCTCCCCTGAAGCAGGGTGCGAAGCATCCACACAGCCTAGGTCCAGCTGAGTGACTGTGTTTTTGATCATGTCTCCTAGCTGCTCTACCTCAGTTCCCTTGGTAAATGCCAGGGACTAAGAGTGCCTGCCTGCAGGAGCTTTGCGAGAGCTCAAGGAGGTATTGTGTGAAAGCTCAGACTAGTACTTGGTGCATGCCAGCGCCAAGGCAGGGTCCACTCTTTGTACTGGGAATGGAGAGGGAGGGGAGGTGAGACACTAGGGGCTTTCCCTATGCTCTTTAAATGCTCAGATGATATGGAAACTTCTGGAGGAATAGGATGGAGGAAGACGAAAGGAAATGGTGGGAGGAAAAGGAAAGATAAAGGAAGAGGAAAGGGAGAAAAGGAGGGAAGAGGAAGAATGGCGGAAAGAGGAGGAAAAGTAGGGCGGGAAGGGTTGAGTAAAGAGGGAAGAAGTGGAGGAAGGATGGAGACAAAGAGGAGGAGGTACGGAAGGAGGAGGCAGGGAAGAGAGCAGGAGGGGAAAAGGGCAGAAAGACCTCCGAAAGGTAAGAGTATGTCCAAGTTAACCGAGGATTTCTAATCGGGTCCTGCGCCCTGGGGCTCACTCGACCTCCCCTCCCACCCCGCCCGCAGAGAGCGCCTTCGCCGACACGCTGCCCCCCGCGCGCCTCAGCCAGGCCCGCTTCAGCGCCTGCCTGCCGCCCAGCAGCCACGACGCGGCCAACTTCGACAACAACGAGCTCGAGAACAACCAAGTGGTGGCCAAGCTGGGCCACCTGGGGCTGGGCCGCACGCCGGGCCCGCCACCGGCCGACGCCGCGGCTGCCGCCGCCATCCCGTGCGGGCCCCGCGAGCGCCCGCGGCCCGCGTCGTCGCCGGCGCTGCTCGAGGCCGACCTGCGCTTCCACGCGACGCGCGGGCCCGACGTGAGCCTGTCTGCCGACCGCAAAGTGGCCTGCGCGCCGCGGCCCGAGGGCGGCCGCACGCTCGTCTTCTCCGAGCGCCCGCTGCGGCCCGGCGAGAGCCTCTTCGTGGAGGTCGGCCGTCCGGGGCTGGCGGCGCCCGGCGCGCTGGCCTTCGGCATCACGTCGTGCGACCCGGGCGCACTGCGGCCCGCCGAGCTGCCGGCCGACCCGGACGCGCTGCTGGACCGCAAGGAGTACTGGGTGGTGGCGCGCGCCGGACCCGTGCCCAGCGGCGGCGACGCGCTCAGCTTCACTCTGCGGCCCGGCGGCGACGTGCTGCTGGGCGTCAACGGGCGCCCGCGCGGCCGCCTGCTGTGCGTCGACACCACGCAGGCGCTCTGGGCCTTCTTCGCTGTGCGTGGCGGCGCCGCCGGCCAGCTGCGCCTCCTCGGTGAGTCCCGCCCCGCCCCACTGCGCCTGCGCGGGCGGGGTACAGCCTCGGGCTTTCCTGGCTTTCCTACCTGCCCCCATGAGCCTGGGCGTGTGTCAGGAGCACCTGTCACCAGACTGTTCTTGGTTGTGCCCTTGCCAGAGTTCCCCCTTCGTAGGTCTGAGCACTCTCTAGAAAATGCATTCCTAACTAGTTCCCCAGTGAGGCAGGCCTCATGGCCTGGACAAACTTTGTAAACCCCGAGTCTAGGAGAACTGGCTGCACTCCGTTGGCAGGCTGTGTGCAGTCTATAAATGGCCAGCGTGTTTTTATTTCCTTCTTACAATTTAATAGGTTTTTTCCGAGACATACGTGAGTGTATGTAGGAAACTAAGTAAATTCGGTGACACACACAAGAGTTACATCCAAGCAGAACAGGAGAAAGGCTTAAACCATTCCTATTTTGGGGTCATTCTTGCCTTCACTCATTCTTCAATAGGGAGAATCCACAAGATGTGAGCCGGGCCTGGAGTCCAGGATAGCACCCCCAGAGAACAGGGCACCCACCATGCATGGAAGCCGGCACAGGTGTGGTATGACAGGGCTACAGTAGTGAGGCTTCTCTCCCAGCGTGGCAGAGTTTGGACAGTGGTCAGGGAAGCTTTCTGGGGAGCACAGATCCACTCGCACCTTTCCAGACTCAAGGCCAAGAAACAAGAGAAAGTCAACTTTTCACATGCTGTCTCACTGCATATTACCATCCCAATGACCTTATGTTAACATTACCCCCATCTATGGATGGGAATCAAAGCACAAATTAAATGACAGCCTTGACACAACTGGTCAGCTGTGGAGATGTTGGCCACCTCACAGCCTCTCCTCAGCCTCAGTTTTCCCTGGGGCAGAATTAAGAGTAACACATGCATGGTGGGGTTGAGGATGGAGTCCATGCTATGCCTCCAGCAGGTGTCTAGCACGACCTTCTTAATCAGCCCTCATAGTTATAGCAGCAACTGGTGGTGTCTGAATGAGGGCAGCGGAGGAGCAGGGTGGCAAGGGTTTTGTTAAAAGGTTTGTTTGTGTTTCAAACAGCCATCAGACATAGTCATCATTTCAACCTGACATGGGTTGTCCAAGTTCCCACTAGGTCTTCACAAGGACTAAGCCTCATTTGTTTTCACGTCACCCCCAGCACCTCCAGAATAACCAGAAAGAGTCTTGAGTGATCAGGAAGAGAAAGGAGAAGAGGAAGGATTGTTTCGAGGGGTCAGGGACTTGTTCCTCTGATCCCTACCTCAGAGCAGCATCAGTGCTCCATTATTTGACCGTTCCTCTTCGTGTGGAATAAAGGAAAGAGCATTTCTCTCTGTCCTGAGAAGTAACATCTAGTTACCTAAATCAGTGAACCTTGGGGAGAAAACTTGTCCAAGTCAAGGACCCTGGAGTTGCCAGTGATAAAAATGCCATTTGTAGTGCTCTAAGCAAAAAAGGAAATGTGTACCTACATCTAACCCAGAAGTCCATGGTGGATTCAGGAATAGCTGGATCTAAATGTTGAAAGCATGTCATCGGGCTTCCCTGTCTTTTTCCATGCCAGACCTCTGCCTTCCCTGGTGTTGGCTTCACTCTGAGGCAGGCCCTCCCCACAGGGTGGCTCCTGCAGCCAGGCTTACCTCTTAAGAGAATGATCGTTTTCTTGTAGAGAAATTCACAGGATAGGTTCCTCTGAGGGCTTGCTGGGACTTAGGCCCTTCCCTGAACTCCCCTGGGGCCAAGGAGTGGAAGTTCTTACTGGACATGTGAGAGTGAGATAGTGCCCCAAAGAACCTCTCAGTGCTGTTTCCAAAATAAACAGGAGCGGGGGCCAGGCAGGCAGGGAGCAGATGGCCACCCCGCTCACACGAGCTCCCCTGTCCTCAGAGACACGAGGGCTTGGGGTGGCTCTTGTCCTCTCTTAGACAGACGGGGAGGCTAAGATGTGAAACAGTGAAGAAGCAGGGCATGTCCAGCCTCCCGCGGCCACTCACGGAGTCTCTCTGGATCTCAGGTACCCTGCAGTCCAGTCCTGCAACTACGACTCCATCAGGGTCCTTCAGTGGCTCTCAGGATGACAGCGATTCGGATATGACCTTCAGTGTCAACCAGTCCTCCTCAGCATCAGAATCATCCTTGGGTAAGGAAGTGTAGATGCCCACAGGCCCAGGGGCTGGTGCTGGCCTGGCTCCCTTCCCCCTACATCCATTCCTCCCTCCGCCATACTGTGCTGGAGAGATGTGCAGACGTGGCTTCCACCGGTGCCGATGGTGTTGGACGGGATGGAAGGGTAGGAGAAGGTGCACAACTAGAACACTAAACCAAACTTGCTGTCTCCAAATCATCTTCGGGTTCTCTGGTAGAAGCACTGCGTTCTTGAGGTTGCCCTGGTACAGGCCAACTGAGATATGTATTAATAGATGTCCTGTTCTCCCTTTGGGCAGTGACGGCCCCCAGCTCTCCGCTGAGTCCCCCGGTGTCCCCAGCATTCTCCTCACCAGAGCCGGCGGGCAGCAAGAATGGTGAGTGCACAGTGTGCTTTGACAGCGAGGTGGACACTGTCATCTACACGTGCGGACACATGTGCCTGTGCCACAGCTGCGGCCTGCGGCTCAAGAGGCAGGCACGGGCCTGCTGCCCCATCTGCCGGCGGCCCATCAAGGATGTCATCAAGATCTACAGGCCCTAGCCTGGCCCTCCAGGCAGCCTTCGCTGCAGCAAGGTCACCTTTCTGAAGCTCCCACTGGGCTGGGCAGCCACCATAGCCACCAGGGAGTCCAAGGGCAGCAGCCATCTTTCATCTGCCACTCTCCAATGGTGGGCAAGGTGTGACAGTTGTGGAGAGGAGGCCCTGGGGGGCTGAGCCCAGGCAAGGGTTGCTTCTGGCTCAAAAGTGCTTTGCCCCCGAAAGGCCATCCCAAGCAAGCTCAGGAACTGCCTGGTAGATGCCCATCCCTTGGTGACCTTCCAGCTGGGAACCAGCGCCCTCTGTCTGTGCAATGCTTCTTTCCGGGGTTGGGTTGAGTGTATGTGAGGGGGAGGGGTGGGGGGGACCACACAGAGAGAATGTGAGATTGAATGAGAGAGCAGGGAACACATAGGTATTGCATGTAGGGATCCTGACTCTAGGAAGTTCCTTAACACTAAGGACCGTGCAGTCCGGAGCCCTAATGTTAGTGCAAGTAGAAACCATTCATTTTCTGAGGATGACAGAAGCTGGTTTTGAATGTACATGGCCTGAACCTACACAGCACTCTCTTGGATGGTCTAGAAAAGAGACACTCAGATTTTCTAAGGGGAGGCAAAAATATCTCATTGTTTACAGCTCCAAAGCAGCCGCTGGTGGTGCGGGCAGGTGGGTGGAGAACATCAGTAACACTCACTCTTTTTGGTTCTCAGTCTTGGAGGAGCGTTTTCATGGGTGCTAAGACTGGGTGCTCTGGGCTGCGGCATCTTTTCACCCTTTGCGCCCAGGCAGGGGCATAAGCACACTGCACCTTGGCTCAGTCCCTGATGCTTTTGGCCTGTGTTGACACCCTCCCCTGCTCCAAGGAGAAGCCTGGAGCACGTGCTCTTGTCCTGGGAAGGAGGCAGGTGACTCACATGAAACTTGGAAATGCCATCCCAGCGTATGAACAGCTCTCCATATTTCCCATGGTGGTCCCTGTGTGGTGTCCCAGGGCCAGAAGCTACCAGCAGAAGCAGGAGGGGAACAGATTCTGTCATGGTCCTTGATCTGGCTCTCAGCTTGATAATTAATATTTGCAAACCAATGAGTGTGTTAAGTAATCTTAGAGACATTAACTGAAAGTGCTGACATGGGTTCTTGTCCTCCCGAAACCTGCTTGCTTGTACTTCCTGGGACCCTGGCACTGTCCGCCCCCCGGCCCTCACCTAGCACACCTCTGTAGGCCCCACTCTGCAAGATCTGGGGCGAAGGGCTGACCCAGGCCTGCTTCTTTCCTGACTCCAGTCTGAGCTCCTTTGTTCTCCTGTTCTAAGTTATTCCTTCGGGGTGGTTCCTTGGCCTCTCTCCTCTTTTGGGTTCCTAATTAGGAGTTGGGTACCTGACTTCTCCATCAGCTCCTAGGAAGAGGGGCCAGTGTCCTAAGAAGTGTGGGGTAGGTTAGCAAAGAGCAGTTAGCATTTGTCTTACAGCTCTGATCTCTTTATCTCTGGCTGAGAGAAGGGGAGGGGAAATGTTCAGGGAAGTTTAGCATTGCTTAATAATCCCTTGCTGGGAGCCAGGCTGAGCTGGGCCCTCCTGAGAGCCAGTCCCACAAGACCAGCCCATGACCCCGGATGCCAGAGGTCCCCGGCCAAGCACACTTTCTCTGCTAGAGCTGGTTCTGAGTTTCTGACCTGATCTTGACCTCAGAAATGCCGCTCTCTTGCCCAGCGAGAACCCTTGATCTCTGCCTTTCCCTAGTGAATCTGGGAGACGTGGCTACATTGGGACTTTGCAGCACAATCTTTCAGGACCTACTGGAACCTCAGTGTTTGCATGGTAAGAGTTTAGGAATCAGGCTGGCCTGAGTGCCCAGCTGAATTTGCTCAGCAGAACTCCTCCACTTCCTGGGGCCGGGTGGTGTGGGCAGGGCCATGCACAGGCTCTGTATGGGACGATCTCACCAGAGAGCTGGCTCTCTAGCCATCTGTCCCTTAACTAGATTGAGACAGTCACAAATTCCAACAGGACCAGTGGCCTGGGAGAGCCAGCTGCCTTCTTCCTGTCTCTTGGCCTTCCCAGTGGACCCCTTGGTTCCAGCAGAGGTCACGTAGACCCACCACCAGGAAACCAGCTGCTGGGGCTGGACCCAGGGTGGACCAGGCATGCTTCTGGTGCCCTGTTACCTGGGGGAAAAAAAGGAGCCAGTGGCCTACTCAACCTGCTCTGCAGCCACCACAAATAGTCTCCCTGGGGCCCAGAGCTGAGGGCGGGGTGGGGGGATGTTTTAAGCCAGGCACTTCCTGATCCTTTAGGAAATGGGCACATCTCCTACTATGCTTCATCTGGAGAAGGGGGTGGGAGAAGGCAGAAAGGGAACCAGGATATCTTATTCACACCTACTGTGTGCCTTGGCACTGAGCTAGAGAGGTGCATTCAGGCATGAGTCCCAGGAAGCGGGTCTTAGTGCCCTATTAAGCCACATCTAAGACGCCTCTGATTATAAAGCACCACATCATGTACCGCTGAGAAGCCACTGCCAGTCTTTAAGATGCCACAACTGTGTAATTCCTTCCAATTGGAAGTGTTCAAGTGTAAAAAACTATAATTCTTAGAATCCAGCAATTAATATATTCTCCCCATTTGGCAGGTGAGAGAATTGAGGTGCTGTAAGTAAAGTGACTTAAGGATCACATGTCAGGAAGTGACAGGACTGGGATTCAAGCCTAGGAATGCCTGGTACCAATCCCAGTCTCCCCACTGCCTGCCCCTAAGCCCCCAGAAAGCTCTGGGCTGTCTGGGTTTTCTTCCTTGAAACTTGTGGCCAGAGCATGGGCACCTGCACCTGTGGAGGTTGCCAGGCTGCAGCCCTTCTGCTGCCCACACCCTGCAAGGACAAGTGTCCTCCTTTACCAGTCACACACTGCCACATTCTCCCAGCCAGGCTGAGCCTGGAAGAGCATGGCTCCAGCCCAAGGCCTTCTGCTACACAGAGGTGCCCACACAGGCAACTTTGGGAATGGACCACAACCACGTGCAGGGTCTCCAGCCCCTGTGGGTCACTGCCCATTATGTCCCCTTCTGGGCAGCAGTGGCAGCCATGGCTCCCTGAGTGGGATGGGGAAGACCAGGAGATGCCACATTTGTCATGGTCTTATCCCCATCCACGTGGAGCCTCTGGGAAAGCTGGGCTGCTTCCAAGGCAAAGCAAGCCCGCTTTTCTAGTGCGTTCCCAGAACAAGGAGTCTTGGGATTTAGCCACTCTGGGGCAGCTGCTTCTTGACCTGCATCCCTATTTCTTCAGTCATTTGAACTGATGAGCACAGGGTATGTTCTGGCCACAGGGTTGAGAACCAGTATCAAAGACAAAGCCCGTAAGGAGCTCGTGGTCTGGAGGAGATGATCAGATTGCAATAAAAACCTGAGTATCAGTGTTCAGTGGGATAACAATACCAGATACACAGAGTCATTCAACAGACATTTTCTGAGTGTCTCCTTGGAGTAAGGTGCAGGGGATCAAGCAGATAGGAGCATCCCCCAGTTCCGAGGCTGTAGGTGTAACATTGGCAGGGTACTGAGATGTCAGGGACAGAATGCTTTAGGCTTTCCTGGCTATTCTGTTGTCTCCTGTCCATCTAGGTAAGTGCCCATTGACTGCCCTCGTGGCTAAGAGTCCACAGCATGCTTTACACAGCCTCTTCTGCTTTTGAAATGGGGGGGCCCTGGGATCATGGGCTGCTGCCAGACAGCTTGGAGCAAGGCCCATAAAGGCCCACAAGCTCATGATCGCCTGCCAGGGAGGCACTGAGGAAATGCTCCCTGCTACTTCCGGGCTCTGGGACTCCCCTCAAGGCTCAAGGGGACCCCAGGGGAGTCCATTCTAGCGGAGAATGTGCTTGTGCAAAGACTTGGTGAATGAGAGGCAATAATGTCCCACTGCTGGACCCCATCAATGCCCCAGTCTGGCAGGGGACACCAGCTCAGGGACACGTGACCTCCTGGCATTTCTTGGTATTTCATTGTCTCGTTGTCTTATCCAAGTCCCGAATGAAATGATTTGTACAACAATCTGTCTGTGCCTTATTAAAGTGTCTGTGCACTTTTTATCCTTTTTCAAAGTAACTTTTTAAAAGTGAACGGGGAATGAGCAGACGTGGAAGGGTTGCGGACACCCGTGGTTAATCACCAAAACCCTCTTGCATTATTTTGGATGTTGGATGCTTGGGCCCCACTCCCCACAAACTGTGTACAGACCTTTTTAAACATGTCTTTTATTTTTCTGATTCAATACTGTGACCTCTCCAATACAGTCTAATCTTTGGGGAACTGTAATAAAGATTTTAAAACTCGGGGGAGCGGGTTGGGAAGGGTTTACACTGGTCTTTGTGTATTGTGCTTATGTATGTTGTGTGTTCTGGGTTTTTTTTTGTCTGTTTTTATCTGTTTTATATTAACATAATTTTCCTGTTTGAAAAACAAATACAACTTTGGCTTGTAAAAAAAAATAATAAAGTTTCTTCAGGACTCAATTCTGAAAATCACACCTGCTTTCAGTGTCAGGGAGTGGAGCTGAGGGATCCAAGATGCCACCGGCCTCCAAACAAGACCTTGCTGTTCATGGAGTCCTGGCAATGCTGGGCCCTTTTGCCTGCTGCTAAAATGTTGCCAGGAGAAAACTGTAACCAATGGTGAGCTGTATGTATAAAGACGATTGCTGCAGCACAATTTATAACAGTAGAAACAGTGAACAGTCCTAATGTTCAGTACTCACCAATACTCTTGATCACAAGTGACAGAAAACCAGTTTGGACGTGTTTAAGGGGTTTCAGCTTCCGGCAGCATGAAGGTCCAGTGGTGGACTGCACTTCAGGGGCAGGTGGGCCCAGCATTTGAAACTCTGCATTTAGGGGCTTAGTTTACCCCACCGCCCCCTTTTCTGGCCCTGTTCTCAGGCAGGTTCCCAAGATGGCAGCCCAAGGGTCCTGCCTCCTTCCTGCCTCTGGTTGTCTTTGATTGGACCAATTTGGATTGCATATCCCTTCCTGAACCAATCCTTGATGCCAGAGAAAATATAGACTGTGATTGGTCAGATCCAGGATGTGGTGGACTGTGGGTGGCCAATCCCTTCTCCCAGGGAGCAACAAAAGATACAGGCTGGACAGGCAAACAGACATCTCCCTCGTGTAATACGGCTTTAGGTACGAAGTCAGCCTGTGCTTGCCCATGGCATTCGGTTAGACTCTTAATATTTTCCTGCCTCAGTCTCCTCATCTGCCTAGCAAGAACCATACTAGCTACTGATGTTAGGGTATGCATGAGCATTACTGACACGCTGGTAATGTGCTAGGCGTAGCATCCGACACTCAGTAACAGTTGTTAGAACAGTTTATAACTTGGGAACAAGTTAAAATAGAGTGGGAAAGACAAAATGCAAAACTGTGCATACATTCTGATCTTGTGGGTGTGAAGAAGCAGCGAGTTACCCCAAAACCTAACTGTGCAATGGAAAGACCAGCAACAAGAAGCAAAATGTCCCTGAAGGCTGTGTCTGAGTGATGGCAGTATGGGTGATATCCCTGTTTTCCACATTTTCTATAATGAGCAAGTATGACTATTCATTTAAACATGCTGCTTGGGAAAAAAAAAAATTATCTCCCTACTCTGCAAAAACCGAAGAGAACAGCCGGCCCTTGCAGGAATTTGTCAGGAATTCCCAGGCTGATTGCCTGTGGTTTAACATCCAAATTTAGTCGTGGTGGAGATAAAGCCTGTAAATTTCCTGCCGAGGCCAGGCCTGCTGACTAGTTTGCTTGGGCTCTCTCCCAGTCTCGCAGTGGTATCAGAAGCAGGAGGGAAGGAGAAGGTGCAGAAGCTGCCCACGCCTGTTCCTACTGACTAGTGACAGCCCAGTGAGGCGACGCTGAAATTACAGTGAATTTAAGAGAAAGAGCCAGCATTTCTCAGCAGTAGAACCCACGGCTTTCACACTGTCTCACAGTGAATCTTCCCAGCAGTGTTCCCCACATTGCACAGGCAAAGGAGCCAAGGTCCCTCCGAGGTGGAAATGGGATCGGACCCCAGACAAGCATGCTCCAGAGCTAAGCAAAATCACTCAGAGGCCCTCTTTCCCCAGGGTCTCGGAGAGGGGCAGAGCCTCCTCAGTCTACCCACAGGCTCCTTCCTCCCCTCCTTGGTATCTTTCCCATCATGCCATCTGCTTCTACTGGACCAGAGGACATTTTCACAGATGCCACCTAATAACTAGGACTATTTTTAAAATAAAGGAAAAACAACCATATTAATCTACGTTTTTTGGTTTTTGAGAGACTGAAACTCAAGAAGGTAGAAGTTGTTGACTTATACATCCAAACTCCTGGCTTTCAGAATGGCTGGATCCAGGTGCTCACATGGTATCATCGTGCATCTCCCTCTGTCAGTTCTGCTTTCCTCCAGGCTATCACTTAGGCAGACTTTGTGGTACCCAAGATGGCCCCAGTATTTCCTAATCTACATCACACCAGCTTAGTCACCCTTTTAAAGAAGTTTCATGAACTCTCCCATGATTGTCTGTCCTTTGACCCCACAGATCAAAAACTCAACCCCTGAGCTAATCTCTGTCACATGCCCACAAAACACATACTACAACACCAGGTATGACACGACTCTTGTTCTCAAGAGCCAATAGTCTGAGCTGGCTGTAATCTCAACACTCAGGAGGCTGAGACAGGCTGATTGCTCCAGGCCAGCCTGGGCTACATAAGTGAGTTCAAGGCCAACTTGCACTACATAGAGAGATCCTGTCTCAAACCAAAACAAAACAAAGCAAAAAAAAAAAAAAAAAATCCAGTAATTTTGAGGGGTAGGCAGACTCCTAAACAGAACTATCCAGACCAGTGAAATTCTCAGGCTTAATTTAGCGATGTAATGAGCATCCCTCTTTCCCTTGACCACTTGAATTCTTAGGAGGCCTGGCCGTGCTCCCCGGCCTATCCTGTTTCTCCTCTAAGGCTCTGGTGTCAAAGTCTGCACCCTGACCCTCGTCAGCCCCTGCTGCCTGAAGCTCAGCCAGCTTCCCAGGAGTTTGGCCACAGTGCATATACACAGATTCCTTTTTCCTGCAATCCCTGGGGTGCTGCAGGCCAAACAGTCCTGCGCAAAGATAATAACAGATCATTTACTGAGCATTTCCTATACATAAGGGCCATCAATCACATTGTTACATTCTTTCAGCAGCTCTTTGACACAGGGTCCATCACCGCCTGCCCTGTAGAGGAGAGAAAGACTGGAGAGACTCAGTAAATGTATCCTGCTCTCTCTGGCCCCTCAAAGGATTTTTTTCTCTTTCAGTTTGTAATTATTTCCCAGGATCTGGAGGCAGTGGTCTTCAATGGTGAATGGGCCTGGGATATTTGCCCCTGGGACTCCATTGGCCCCCACAAGCAACCTTTCAGTAGGTGTCATCACCCCATTTTCCCCATAAGTGAGGAGGGGCTCAGAGAGAGCAGTGGCCTGCACCAGGTCACAGAGATTGTGCTGTGGAGCCAGGGCTGGAATCCGATCTGGCTCTTTCCTCTGTGGGCACAGCTTGTTTGAGGGTAAATCGCCAGAAGACAGGGAGAGAAAGGAGCAGGAGACAGAGAGAGAAATAAAGAGGGGAGCCCAGAAGGATCCAGATGCAAGACAGAGCCCGCCTGAGCACAACCTCGGCTGGGTGCGGGCTCACTCGCTGCCCGCCCGTACTCTACTCTCCAGAAGGGAGCTGTGTATCTCCTTGAGCGCTCAGCATGCTCTCCTGGATCCGAGAAGCTGGTCTGGGCTCCCCACAGGGATGTGGGAAACACCAACATTCTGGGCATCCAGCTATGGGAACAGAATCCAGCCTTGGCTGTTCTGTGTACCTCGGGAGTAATCTACAGACCCTGAAGGAGGCTGCGTCAGCACCAAACACCTTGGCAACCCTGGTCCCCACTCCTCAGCTGCCTTCTTTCCCAGCACTGGCCTGTCTGGGACTGAATCTTTCTCCTCAAACTGGAGCCCCAGGTTCTGCGAAGTCCTGGAGTCCAGCTGAGGCTGCATTCGGGTATCTCAACTCACAGCAGGTGCTTCTGACTAACAGGAAGTCTAGGTTGGTGGATGACAGTTCCCTTTGTCAGACAGACAAACCTGGGTTCCCAGCTGGGCCTTCCTGGGTGGCCTTGGACAAATTGCTTGCTTTCTCTGAGCCTTCATTGCTGAACCTTTGAGGAAGAAGTGTGTCAGCCACCTTGTGGATTATATCAGGTTGAACTGTCAGGAGGTGGCTGTCATCTAGCAACTACTAAAGACAGTGGTCCTCCTGTTATACTCAGTTTTGCTTTCTGTAATTGCGGTTACCCACAGTCGAACTTGTCCCAAATATTAAGTAGGAAATCCTAAAGTAAACAATTCATAAGTTTACTGCTGAGTAGGGTGATGAATTCTCCCACTGTCCTGCTGTGTTCTCCTGGGATGTGAATCATCCTTTTGTACAGCGTATCCACGCTGTATATGTTACCCAACTTCTAGTCATTTAGTAGCCATCCGGTAATCACTTCAGCTGTGGTCATTCCACCATGCTTGTGTCCGGGCAACTCTTACTACTTCATAGTGGCCCCAAAGCACACGAGTGGTGATGAAAAGGGGGTGCCAGGGCATGAACCAGGGGGAACACATCAGCTCTGGTCCTATGTGGCTGTGATGCCTGGCACACAGGAGAAAATATACTACTACATATGGTATTAAGGCTTGGATACTGAGGCATCAGCCATCCACTGGGGGTCTTGGAGCAGAAACTTCATGAGGATAAAGAGGGCCCAGGTAGCGCTGCTGGCTATACCACTTCCCGTCCCCGGCCCTCAAGCTGGGCAGGGGCTGCCTCTGTCTTCCCATGGCTCCCCTTCAAAGCCCAGTCCTTCAATGGCTACTCTATAACATTCTTGGCAGGATCTATGGGTGATACTTTGTAGCCCTCAGCAAGGGGCCACAAAATAGCCTGATTTAACCCCACCCAGGGTGCTATTGTTGACATCCCTCACCTCCTTCACCCAAATCCCTGGTCAGATAACAGGGTTTGCAGGGCTTATGCTGAGGCTGCCCGGCCCCTCTTCCCCTTTCTGTTTTGGCCCCTGGTCAGGAATGCTGGCAGGCCTGGGAGGCCATCCGGGACCTCAGTCCAGAGGGAAAGTCACACTTTTGCTCAGCTTCCAGAAGCAGCCCAGCATTCCAGGAGAGGCGTGGGAAGGACCAGGATCCCCAGCCAAGGCGGTGGGGCTGCTTGCAGCCAGCAGTCCCCACGGTGTGGCTGCTGACCCACGCCCACCTCGGGCCCGAGAAAGACCTACCCCACCTGGAAGGACGGAATTGGGGTCCTGGATGAAGACCCCATGGCCACCGCAGGACAAAAACATCAGATAGTCCCCAGGGGCCGTGCCTGGCCTTCTGCATCCAACCCTGGTTCCCCAAGCTCACTGGCTCCCCTCTCCCTGCTCTGTTCCACTCTCCCCTCCTTGAG